GAGGGTTGTCAGGTGTATGTATAATACACTGGTGTAATTTCAGTGCATAAAAATATTCTCCTGGGTTCATCTAATTTATCTTTCCTTGGTTACCTATTAATCCATTCCTGTCTTTTTGCTGTTGTTGTTAATGACAGGTGACTTTTGGGAAGCACGGAAGCTTAAGACTCAGTCTTCTCAAGAGTCATCTTTTATTTTTCTTAGGCCTGCTGTTGAGCCGTTAGAAGTGGCATCTAGTGATGGGGATTGTCAAGTGGTTAGCTTACGAGGTTTGTCTTAGGATTCTAGGGAAATTCAAGGACTTGACAGTGACTTTATGAGAATAAATCTGGCCCATTACAAACACAGCTGTTTGTTGTTAGTTAAGGGATGGACTTCTCACCACTTAGCTGCTGTATGGAGAGTAAGGGGCTCTGCCTCAGAGGGCGAGCACAGATTTCCTAGAAGAGAACCCGCCCTCAGCCTTTGGGGATGTGCCTTTGACCCAGTTCAGTGCATTCTCTCCTTACAGCCATTTATTGAAGTGTCTCCATAAAGAAGTGACTCTGAAACCCACACTCACCGGGGGGCAGATGTGTGGCAGCGGAGAAGAGCGTGCATCTTGGTCAGACAGGGCTGGATTCCACTGCCTGTTCGGTTATTTTGTAGTTTTGTGACTTCAGACAAGTTATTTATCCTCTTTAAGCCTCAGAGTCCCCAGCTCTGAAATCTGCATGTCCTTGTGCCTCAATCCAGTGTATAAGAAAGTACTCTTGGAAGCTCCCTGGTCTTGTGTGTTCTTTTCCTGCCAGCTTTGGATTCAGGCTTCAGGTTGGACACGTGAGCAGGTGAGTCTTTCAGTACTTTCCCATTATCTTCCAGGAACTTCCTGTTGAACTGCTCACATTATAAATCTTGGGATGTTTTCTTTGTATCACAAAGCTGATTATTGGTCATTTGCAGCTCATCATCTTGCTTTTCCTGATTTGGAGAAAAGAAACAGGACTCAAAATAACAAATGATGCCTGTCTTTCAGTTTTGCTTGAGGCCTGTTGTGGTCTTGGCACAGATGTGAGGTTCTCAAAGGTGTCTTAATGAATGGTTTGGGCCCTTCAGGGCCTGGACAGAGCTTGCTAAGATTTTTCTGGAGTTTGGGAATCTGGAGAGTATTGTGCGTGTGCGTGCGTGCGTCCGCGCGTGTGTGTTGTATGTGTGCTTGTGTCCAGAAAGAAGGTGCTACTATTCCCCTCATGGAGTCAAAGGTCACTTTTTAAGTTACTAGATCTTCCTGGATAGAATCTGTCCTTATGTGGAACTCCTCTGCAGCTTTTAGGTTGTATGTATTATTTTTTTCCCCCTAAAGAGATCTGTGGGATAATCATAAATGCTGGCTCTAAATGAGAATGTTCATTCATATATGAAACAGCAAAGAGTAAGACAAGCCTCAAAAAATGTGGCAAGTGGAAAAAGCTCCAGGAGTGAAACACAACCTCTTCTCCTAGCACAGTTTATATCTCAATTATCTGGGTATGGGATTTAACTTTTAAGAGTGCTGCAAATACAACATTTTAGCTTTCGTCAGTCAGCACTGCTCTCCCAGCAGAAGCTTTTGTGATGGACACGTGTGGCAGTGATTGGTCGGGAGGCTTGTAATATTTTATCTCAGGCATAAATTAGGAATTTGCCTCCAGGAGAAGTCTTAGATACTGTTGATCTTCTGGTTAATCAGCCACCCGAAATTTAAGTTGCAAAAGTAGTTTTCCTTTGTCTCTTCTGATGAGTTAGAAACAGAGTTAGATTTAGATCTATACCTTTAAGGAAAGATGTGTTACACCTGTTTCAGTTGTCTTGTTGGGTGAGGCTTTCCCAGAAAGCTGTGTTTAGCCTTTTATTCAATTGTGTTAATTCTGCCTCTTGTTTTATTGTTTCTTTAGGCTCTGGAAAAATGGTCACATATTTTTCATTAAGCCTTAATAAACTACCTTCCGTTATTTCGGGCTGCTTGGTTCATATAGCACTAACAGATTTGAAACAGATCTCATGGAGCAGTAGTAGCTTGAAGTATGCTCTTATGATATGATTAACATGCTTCTATTTTAACATCTCTGGGGAAAAAAATCTATCAGTGGTAAAAATGTTTTTCTCTCTCTTTTTTTCCCTCCTCTGACAGGAGACAGAGTACAGCATGACTTGTTTTAATGCTGACTTTGGAAAAGCAGGAAATGCTTAGTGAGTGGACAAAAAATGATGAGGTTGGGACAGTGATGTTATGTTTTACACTCTGTATTTAAGAGAACTTGTAACCATTATGTCCGCTTTGTGGCTTAAGAGAGGAAGGAGGAGGGAGCGGGGGAGGAAGGGAAAGGAAGGGGGTGGGGAGAGAGAGATTGGGAGAGACTGATTGACTTGTGTGGTAGAAGGTTGTGCCAGGGAGCCTGCCAGGGGGTGACTCATGCTCCTCAAGTCTGCGTGATGCAAGGCCCGCTGCCGCCATGACATCTCTTCCACGTCTGGTCAGGGACAGATCATCGGGCTGCTGTGTGTCAAAACTTTGTTTTTCTCTCTCCTTTATTGACAGTGAAAACAGCAAGGTGGTCAGTCTTACTCAGTATAATAAAGTGCTTTCTTCTAAAATACCTCAGTGCCAAGATGAATACGGTTTGCTCAAATAACGACTTCTGCTCTTACTAAGAAAAACTGATCTTGGGACACAGGGGATTTGCCTGGTTTCTGAGGTAACTTGGTAGATTATAATCTGGTTGCCATAGCAACACAGCAGCAGGGAAAATTACAGGAACTAAACATTTGAAGAGAGGTATTTTAATAGAATGAGTACAAGCCCTTTACCTATCATCTTTCTCGCTGAAGAAGCGGTGGGGGTCAGGAATGGGCAAGCAGAGAGGGGAGCAGAGGGAGGGAAGAGGCATAAATGGCTTTTGGAGGCTGGATGCCTCCGGGCCATTCTTTGAATTGTGGCCTGGTGTCAGTGACCACACAGGAACCATTACAGATGCTTTTCATGCAATATGATAAGCAGATAATATGACAGAAGCTGGAACATACTCCACTTCGGACCTTTTTCTTGCCTGGGACTTCCTATAATTCTGGGGAATTGTACTTGCAGTCAGACTCGGCATTTAAGACATGCTGTCTGACAGTTAACGAGTGTGGCAGAAGAGAGTACGTGAATTTGGGATTGTCATAGGATGTTTGAGGTGTACTCTTGATGTCCGCTGATTTTTTTTTTCCGAACTAATTAATTCTACACGCATGTATTACAAGCCTATCTGTAGAGGTTTAAACACAAAGCAGTCGATTTCTGCTCTATTGCAGTGATGCTAGAATTGATGTAAGGACTTTTAAAAAGACATAGGTAAATTTCTTTATTGGAGTATTGTTGTATTCTGTTGTAGTTGAATAATGTTCTGTGTGCATGTAAAAATAAAGTTAAATCAAAACTATTTTCATGTTAAGAATGACTTTTAAAAAGTCGGTTTCCAGAAAGCAATCGAAATGTCTTAATCACTCCGTGGAGATCTGAAGGGATTTCCTTTTGAGTTCTTAAAATGGCCCAATGTGTTTACATTGGTGAGAATTTGAATATTTAAGACTGAAAGATTATGGACACAGTTACTGTACAGGAAAAACAATTGCCTTGAAATAACTTACGATTCAAGATAACAAGAAGCACCAGGGATGAAGCCTATACTGCTTTTCCCTGAATGCTTCTGTTTCTCCAGTTAATGTATTTCCAGATTAAAAAATTTTAATATTCCAGCAGTGTCTCCTGTGGTGAATTATTAGAAGAAACCAAATACATGGATATTAAAGGTTTAGTTTTTAAAGATGAAATGATTTTGACCTCAATGATAGTTTTTAAAAAAACAGATAAATTGTGGTCCATCCATAAAGCTGATTTTTAAAATTGTATATTACGAAAGCTTAATTTTGAAGTTTAAATGATTGTTTGCAGTGGTTTTTCTTATGTTTTATGACTTTCATTCATTCAGTAAAAAATAATTCTCCAGCACTTATTCTGTGTCTGATCTTGCCCTTATAGAGCCTAGATTAAAGGAAAGACTGACACTAAAGAAATTCCTTAACTAATTGCAGTTGTAAATTTAGTTCCTTCCTCCTTAGTTCTTTCATTTAGTTCCTTTAGATAACGAAAGGAAAAGTCACTAATTTATATCCAAATATAAATTAAAGAAGATAATCCAAGCTTAAAAACTGTAGTTAAAAATCATCTTGTGCAAGATTAACACTATTAGAATAATGACTATATATTTCTAGAAACTGGAAGGCTGTCAGTGTCGCATTCAACTAAATGAGATTAAAACTAAAACTCTGAGGCTCTTGAAAGAACATACTTTACCATAGCCATGCATGGTCTAGTTATTTGGAAGTTATCTTCTGAAAACTAAATATCTATGTTGTATGACTAAAACACTGACATTTAGGTAATAGGTTTAAAAATTTGTTTGATGGGACCTTTTTGTAATATTATTCATTTATTTTATGCTGTTCGTTACTGTTTCCAGGTGCTGTTCAGAGATGCTTTTTTCCCAAACGTTTTTCTTATAAATTGCTTTCTATTATTATGCAATGAAATCATGTAACTCAGGTCAGTGATAGACACCTGTGAATCATTAGTAGCAGTGTTAGTTCAGAACCTCATTTCTCTTTGCAGTTTTCCTTTATAAGTATAGTTTTTGGTCTTTTTTCTTCTTTTAACTGTTGTTTCTAAATTAGTGAAAGAAAATATCTTAAAATTGAGGGTTTTTTTTTCTTTTAGTTAACACAAGCAACACAGGAGAAATAAGTTTAGCTAAATTCAAATGCATGTGCTTTAACCTAGTCAAATTTGAACCAGGTCTAAAGACATATCCTAAATTTTGTGTTTATACAAGGTTCTGTGCCACATACTTCTTGTCTAGTACATAAATTTAGGCAATGAAACTGTTGAAGAGAAATCCCAGATGTTCTAGTATTAAATTGAAATTAATGTGTTATTTTGGCAGGTTATTCTCGTTCAAGTTAATCCAGGTGAGACTTTTACAATAAGAGCGGAGGATGGAACACTTCAGTGCATTCAAGGTAAGGAAGTTTTTTGCAAGCTTTCTAAGCAAAGGAGTTTTCCTTTATTTATTATTTTATGGCAGTAAAATTTATCTCTGAGTCTTTATGTGATTTTTCTAGAGGTAAATTTTATCTTGGATTTTTTTTCACTTTCATTAGGGGCTCCTTAATGCTGAGGTAGGCCTGTGATATATAAGTGACAAAGTTAAACACCTTGAGTATTCTACTGACTTTCAAATTAAATTAACTTAGGAAAGCCTGCACTGTCTTCATATATTATGAAAATTGGTAGCGCTAAAAAATGCAGAGATTTTAAAAGAGCTTAAAATTCCCATTGAGAACAGCAAGTACTTTTTCAAATATAGATATAAGTTTAAAATATATATTGTGATGCTATCCAAATGATGCTTTTAGAGGGAAAAAATCTGTATTTAAGTATCATTTATTATTGAGTAACAAATTCCTCAAATTTGATGATTTAAAGCAATGTTTGTCTACACTTTCTTTGGGCCAAGAATTTAGTCACAGCTTACCTGTGTCCTATGACTCTGGGTCTCTCCAAGTGCAAAATTCCAGGTGTTGTCTAGAGCTGTAGTCACTGTAAGGCATGTCTGAGGCTCAGTGCGTTTCTAGTCTTGCTCAAGTAGTTGTTGGCAGGATTTGGCTTTTTGCCAGCTGTTGGCAGGAGGCTTCCCTCAGTGCCTTACTAAGTGGCTTTTCCATGGGGGCACTTCCATTATGGCAGCTGGCTTCATTGGAGCAGCAACTGAAGGGCAAGAGGGAGTACTATGTCCAGCCTGCTCCAGAAAGGGGATTACACAGGGTGGGAATGCCAGCAGACAGGACTCATTGGAGGCCCTTTCAGAAGGCTGCCCACCACAGTCCATTCTCTGCCTTCAGTAGTTTATGTCTCTCTCATATGCACGATACCCCCTCCCAAGAACTGCAGAAGCCTTATTCCATCATGGCATCAGCTCAGAGTCTGGAATTTTGTATCTAAGTAAGCTCCAGGCGAGGCTCTTTGGGTGTAGTTCTTTAACTATGGCTCCTAGGGCATTTCAGTGAATTTTCAGTTTGTGTAATACCAGTGCTTCTTCTCTGTTGTTCACTTTGGAAAGAAAGAGGCTTAGGTACTCTGATCCATGTGGAGTTCTGTGTAGGAAGAGCAATCCAGATCTGGAGTTAGTCTGTAAATACTGCCATGTTGGAGGGTACTGTTTGTAACAGCTCTTTTTGGCAGTGATTGGGATTATGGGGCAAATGGTAAATTGGCCAGTAATTGAGTTTAATGCTAGGTTATTGATTGGACTGGAATCTGACCAGAGGTCTTGTTTTTAATACTTGGGTTTGCTCACCAATATATAAACAAAATGAAAGGAAATGCCCTTTAGTTTTAGTTTTCCATAATGAGCTACACAGAAAAAGTTGATTTTTCTATTGCTTTGCATAATAGCAGAGTGTGCTGCTGTATAGTTTTATTACTTATTTTTGTAACCATAAGAACAAAAATTTAGGAAGAAAGATAAAACTCATTAGGCTAGAATTCTAATGAGTTTTAATTGCAGTTAATCTGAAATGATTTAACCATTTCATTAATGGTTTTTAGTGATTGCATTTCTCTCATCATTGTGTCCCTAAAATTGATCTTTGGTGTTCTAAAACATTTAAAATTCAAACCTAGTCTTTGTTAATGAATCAGACAAAGAAACTTCAGGTAAAAGAACAGAGGAAATAAATATGTTAAAATAGTATGGGATACAGAACCTTCCACCTACTTGTGGTATTATAATAAACAGATATTAGCAACAAATAAAATCTCAAAATCCACTCTGTATCTTAAAAATAAAAAACACTAGATGAAAAGTCATTTTACCTACACAGAATGAAGGTGGTGTTTCCAGTTCAGTAAGAGAATAGCTGAGTTTCTGGTCATGGTAACTTTGGAGTCCCATGAATTGGCAAGTAGACTGTCTCCCTCTACAACTGAATATGTATAATAGAATCTATAAAAGCAGATTGCTGGACGGATCATCTTATATAAAATCCACTCTGTGGTACCAGCTGCTTTTACTTTTGGTGTCTAAGGAGTGTGTGTGTGTTTGTGTGTGTGTGTGTTTGTGTGTGTGTGTGTGTGTGTTGAAAGAGTTAGCCTCTTTCTCACTTATTTTTTTGAGTCTAACTGGTATATTCTGCAGGGAATGTTGCAAGTATATTGCTCTGTTCACAATAGGAGTTTTGTGTTTATTCATGATGGTACTTGGAGATAAGTGAAACTAACATCCCTTTCAGTGATTTTAAAAAAATGATATTGACTTAAGAAGAATTGTGGAGCCATTTATCTTTGACTTCCCCAGCCTTCCTATTTGTTCTCTTTTGAACACCTAGGTACTGTTGTTATGTTTTTTTGGGACATGATGGTACCTGGCCCAACTAATTGAAATGACACTGGACAGGATGAGAGGGGCTAGGACCTGGAACCTACAAGTGGTCTGCTAGGGCTTGGGAAGCACTGGATGACAGGGTCAACTGGAGGAACTGGAAGGAACCCATGGATAGCCACTCAGTATGTAACAGGCCACTCAGCCTATAGCAGACCCATTGACGGCAACTCATGTATAACAGTTGGTCACTCAGCCTGGGTACCCTTGTCCCCGCCTTCGTTTGCATTCCAGTATGAGTTAGTGAATGCTTCATTCAGGATGGGTAGAGCATACCAACGTAGAATGTGAAGGCAATATATTTGTAAATTCCAACACAAGTTGTTGTTATCCTTTCACTGTGATTAACATCCCTGTTGTTGCTAATATTCAACTCCTAGGGTATGTATTCTCTCATTGAATAGGTATAATAGATACATTTGTGAAAACTGAGGCCCATAGAGGTTAATTCATGCACCTAAAGTCACAGTGAGAAAACCAGGATCTAGTTTACATCCCTGGTGTCTCTGACTCCAGTGCATGAGCTCTTTATTGCCTGTGCTCTGTGGCTTTACATCAGGGAATCATGAACTCAAGTCGACACCACTCTCTTGGGCACATGACAAGAGCAAAGTGGGTTCCTATTCCTGGCGTAACAGAATCCCTGAAATGATACTAGGATGAATACTCAGGAAGGCAGGATGAGATAGAGATGGTTTGCAGAGCAAAAGTGGGTGGTGGAGACTGGGTCTTTGGAATAAGATAGGGAATTCCGTTAAGAGAAGTGAGAGCAGGATAGTTTGATACAGGGAGTATTGATTTAGAACTCCTGAAATTATTTCTGCCCAAAGTCAGGACTGAGCCCAAAATTGGGGTGGGCTGAACTTCTATTCTATGTGGGGCTTCTGGCTTCAGATGGTGGAAGAGGAGGGGTCCAATGGGAGAGGACTGCTTAGGCAAGGATCTGAAATTGAGTCATAAAGATTTCTGAAAGAAGTACTTGCATTTTACTAGGGGTTAAAGTTACGAGAATGAAGCTGTAGTTAGGCTCTTTCTACACCAGCCAGCAGATAGGGAGGTGGTTTTTTTTTTTTTTTTTTTTTTTTTTTTTTTTTTTGCAGGGGACGGGTGGCAGTTGGTGGTGGTGGCCTTCCTGGAAATTTTGAAGTAATACCCATTGCTTATGCCATGGTTGAAACTGTCAGCTTAATAGCTTTGCTGTTTCAACACTAGCCAGCAGGTTAGGGGTTGCTGTGGTGGGAAATTCGAGGTAGGGAGTGGAGTTGGTTTCGGGCCTTCCTAGAAACTTTGAAATTACACCATATGAGGTCAACCCCCTTTGCTTGTAGTTGAATTTGTGAGCTTAATTATTTTCTCTGTAGGACATTTATGACATCACTAGAAAGACTCCAGAAGCTCATTGTGATGCCATGAAAAGGCAGTTTGGAAATCCAAAGCAAATCAATGTAAAGAATATGGTTACTCTGGGGGAAAAAAAAAGATTTTGTTTTCATGGGAATGTCCTTGGTGATAATGAAGGAAGAAAAACACAGGAAACATACAATATGCTGTGAAAGCAGATTCATTTCTAATGGAATATTTCTCAATATTTTCCATGAAACATGAATCATAGGTCTGGAAGGGGCCACAGAAGGTCATAGTTTATGCTCACTTGTAAGCAGCACTATACCTATGGCATTCTGGACAAAAGAGTTTTCTTTCCTAGGCCAGATGAAAGTGTATAAAGAACTAATTGTTAGGGAAAAAAGAATCTTAGCAATCAATATGAATTCTTTCCTTTGCTTAAGTTCAGGAATTAATAGAGGGCAGCTGCAGGCCTCTCCCATTATCTTCATATCCTTGTCTGGGCTGAGGTGCTGGCAGTGCAGCCTTCCTTCCTGTCCACACATGCCATCTTTTTATCTGGGCTGTTTCTCTGCTCCCTGTAAAACCCCTCAGCCAAAACAAATACCACACTTCCTTTAAGCGCCTGGTCTGTCTCCTTCGGGAGGATCACTCCCGTCCGTTCTGACCTTTCTCTGTTCCTGGAGGAGCAGGTAGAGGTAGCACTGTGTGTTACCATCTGGTTATATGTGTAAACCTTTCCTTAGCCCTTGAATTAGATGGAATTCAGTTGTGACATAAACAGTATATCCTCTACCCTACCTGCCAGCCACGCAGCCTGACAGTGATTACTGACTGGACCCTTGACTAGCTCTGGCATTACATCAGATGTGATAATTTTTCTTTTAACTTTTACTCTTATGCTGGGAGCTTAGAGATGCTTAGTTAAGTGATTTTAGTGGTCTTTAAAGTCTCTATAGAAGAGCTTTCAAATTTCAAATCACGTTATAATTGAAGCTTATCAGTTTCCTTTAAAAAAATGTGTAAATCTAAAGAACTTTCATATTGACCTGTATTAATGCTGCAATTTTTATATTTCAAGACTTACCTTTCAGATCGTGAGCCTGAAGAAAACAGGTGATGGTCATGGTGGCATAGCAAAAAACAGATTTAAGTAAAAAGCTTAGGAAGCACCATTATTCTAATAAAGAATAGTATTTAAAGATATGTAATTGCTAATGTTTTTTTTTGTCCATA